TAGGATTACAACATGTAGTTTTGTTGTGACCAGTGTCTAGGAAATTATAACATGTCATCGTAAACTTCTCTCGTCCAAGCTTTGTTGAGAAACTAGAGGATTCATTATCTCATTTTCGTCTATCATAGTTGCTTGGTCTGCCACGATTACCTAGTCTATAGGGTGGTGGCAACACCTGTAGCCTATTTGTCTTAGGCCATAACTTCTTTCTTGCACCGGCCTGATACCACATGAGTATGTCACTCTCCGCATGTCACTTGTCTAACACTTGGACACAAAATCTTCTATCTCTAACTTCCTTGCAGTTATCAGACATGAAGCATGAATACATGGAATTCCTCTGACTGCCACTTGAGACCCAACATGTTTTCAAATCCATATCAACACAATAGGTGACACCTCCATCATCAATTTCATGCACATTCCCACATGCCCACATGCCACGTATCTTACACAATCCTTTGTCTTTTCCTTAGTCTTTGCAACTTCCAAATGAACTTTTTGTGAACCTAGTCTTACTATGTGAAGCAAGGAGAGCTCTTTTGGCATTACGAACCATGCATCGCCTTCTTATATCCTCTTAACATTTCTAACAACGGTTTTTTTTCTAGATTCTCTAATTGTCTTGTTGAATGACTCACAAAGGTTGTTGAGGTTGTCATTGCAATCTGATCCTAACCAAAAAAGGCTCTTGACCATGTATTCGGGTTTGTTTTTTGAAGGGAGTCATAAGTATCTGAGCAATACTTTTTAGTGTATCCATATGCTCTTGAAAATCAAGAGTGTTGCTTCCTACTTTTTACAAAATAATCTCTCAAGTTGGGGATATTTGCTGTCCCTTTTCCAGTTTTCAAGGAGATGACTTGAACACATTCAGTGTTCAGCTTCTAGAAGCTCGTTCTTGACAACATTCACAAGTCCCTGTTAATAAGAAAACACAACCAAATAAGCACAACACCTAAAAGAAATATAGACATAAATAAACACAACACAAATCTTTTGCTTGTCACATATTGTTGTTGTTGTTGCTCTTTCTTGTAATCCTAAATCTGATTTCAAAAGCTTCACAAACCATTCCCAGTTCACATTATTTTCAATCTCAACAACAGCCCAAACAATTGGCACAATCATGTTGTCTCCATCTAGCTAGTAGATGTCCTTTAATATACTACTTCAAGAATGCACCATATAACCCCATGATAGGCCTACATGATTCTATCTGAGATGTGAAACAAACATATAACATGTCTAACCTTTGCTTGCTTCATGTGCAACCTTTGTTGTATACTGCTTGGACATTTTTATCTCAGCTTCATAGTTCCATATAGAGAAATGCACTTCATGGCTTGTTTTTCTCTGTCAAAATAGCTTAGACTTCGCTTTGGTCACATTGTTCCGCTGTGACAGTCAAATTGTACTTTCTCTACACATCTTCAGCCATCTCCTTTTTCGTAAAATTTATGTTGATCTTTCAAGTAATTAATGATACCTTAAGCATCTTTGAGTAGCCTGATCTCATACAATTATCCACATTGATAACACTTTCACTTGCATCTTGTGCCTCTTTGGTTCGTAAGAACAGTAAATCCTCCATGGGTAACTCGACTCAACATCAGAGCATCTCCCACCCACCTTCTGTGATGTAGACTTATACATTTTAGTGTCGTAATGGGTCTTCAGAGAGTACCTTAATAATCCCAACGTAAAATCTGCTGCACAAGCAAATGTCTTCCCCAATGCTAACAGATCTTCACTGTCAATACTATTGGAAAACAACTCTCTTCATTCTACCTCCTCTTCGTCTTCGTCAGAAAAAAATGGATCTGGTATCTTATGATTGTCCCAACTATCATCACCACTCTCTCCATCACTTGCATTCTCCGCTTTTTCGCACTATCTCCAAAATATTGTGTTAAATCTTCACATTTCTTTTCTTCCATGCCTAATCCATTAATTCTTTTCTTCATCCGCTTCGTTATCACCACCATCTCCTTCTCCCTCATCCCGGTCGACATCCTCATCCTGACAATCTCTCGGTGTTGGAACCAGGTTTACTGCGTATTTCTTTTGCAGAGATTTTCTCAAGCTCATGGCCATTGCATGCATTGTGCCCTTCTTTGTGTCCTTCTTCAATTGTTTGGTTCGTCCCAGCCTTTTTCTTACGACTTATTTGAGTAAGCTTCTTCGGCCTTTCTATCTGTTTTCTTTAAATAGTCAAGATTTTCACTTTCTTTGTCTGTAGTCTATTGATTCAAGTGAATGATTTTTGGAATTAGGGTTTTTTGTCGATGGAGAAGAAAAGAAGAAGACGGGTTTCTTTTGTCTTTTAATGATAAGTAGAACACATATTCATTAATTAAAAAAAGTTTAAGACAAACTAACAGTTGACTTTGTCATATTTAAAAATGTCAAGTCAACAGAAGTTTAGGATTACTTTTGGGAAAATTTTGAAAATATGAGAATTTTTTTGGCTTAGCTAAAAGTTGAGATTTTTTTAAGTTCGGGATTTAAATGATGTTTTCCACTATTAAAACAAAATCAATTTTTTTCTACTTACAAATAGTCTAGGTTGGGCAATTACATTAACTAGCTTTTATATTCTTTTCACTATACATAACTTAATTATTATTAACTATATAGCCTAGAATGAAATTAATAAACTAAATAATTATACTATTGTTTTTTTAAAAAAAAATAATGAGTTCGATTTATATTAAGACTACATTTAAGTAACTAAAGGTTATATTTTATTTATTAATACAAAAAGGAATTATATATGCCTACTAATTCATATCTATATACAACTGTACTAAATCCAAATGCAAGAAACAAATTCTTCAAAACCCATACTAAATACATAATAATATAATTCTTTTAGATAGTATTAAAATTAGATATAGATATATATAGAGATATTTGATAAAATTAATATTAATAGTTAGTTAATATTAATATTTAATAATATGATGGACATGTTATTATTGATATGTTTATGAATATAGTTTTACGATTACTTCAACAAACATGTAAAATATTTTACATATATATAACTAACTGAACAAAACATAAAACACACTTAAAGTTAGCCTTGAGCGTTCATGCACCCATTGGAATACGGGTTGGGTATTTTGAAATTTGGTTCAAATTTATATCAGATCCTAGGTCTTATTATGGTAAATCTGTAAGTAGGGATTGAGTTTTGATGGAACACATCATAAAACCTATAAAATAACCATATATTCTTCAGATTTGGGTTATACTGATTCAGTTCAGATATATCTGAAGTTAAATAAAAAATTTAAAAGCAAAATATAAGAAAGAAATACTTATTTATATACAATTAGATATTCAAGGGACTTATTTAAAATTGAAATAATTATTTTAGATATCATTTAAAATAAATATGTACCTGATTGGAAGTATATATTTATGTTTCAAATATTTATTTTGTGATTAGTTTGGATATTCATATAGTTTTATGGTTTTTCATAGTTTTTTTGTTTATCAGGTTATCCATTCAAATTAGGCTAATGACGCTTCAGGTTTGGATATGTTTTGTACCACCTTACATTATCCACTACTAGAGCTGGGAATTTTAATCACTATCCGCGGGTCCCGTCCCATTTACCCGTTGTGGGGCGGTGCGGGTCAAACAATTTGAAAATTTTGGATTGCGGATGCCGATTGAGCTTATTTTTCGCGGAGTGGGTGCGGGTCGATTGAAATTGAATCGCGGATACCCGCCAACCCGCAAAACTAAAAAAAATTATTTTTCTTAAAAGATTAATTTTTCTCTTTTAAATATTTTCTTTTTAAAAATAAATAAAAATACGAATATAAAGAAAATTTAACTAAAATATATAATTTTATTCTTTTTATTTAAAATATATTTAAAAACATTATTTATTATTATTAATATTACCCGCGGATCTTGCAAATTATCCACAAAATTAAGCGGGACGGGTGCGGATTAGTATTTTTCTTAGCGGGTAAAATTTTAATTCAAAAAAATTACTCAAATATGTGGGTCGGCGGGTCCGTGGGGTGGGTTCGACCCGCAACCCAGCTCTATCCACTTTTGTATTTCTTAATTTCAAATCAGTACGAATCGATTTTTTGGTTTGGGTATTGTTTGGGTACTGTTTGGACTTCTGGTTACGAATTTTATGCTGGACTAATTTAAATAAAGAGAAAATGCGATAATATAAAGTTTTCACCAAAAAAATATTTTGTACTTTGAAAGCATAGATAAAAATCAAGCTAATGTTAGCACGATGAAAAAATGAAGAAAGAAATCATCTTTTTCGTTTGATAACATATTGTTTGTTTTTATCAACAATAAAAGGTAGAACTATTTTCTCTAATAGCTTTTTAGATTTTTTTCACTAAATGAGTCTCCATTGAGGAAAATGATAAAAAAAAAAATGTTTCATTAAAGAGGCAAAAGCTCATAGTACCCACTATTTTCTGGATATTTAAATAATAAAAAAATAACAAAAATAACAAAAAATAACTTTCTTATAATTTCGAGTTATATGATTTTAAACTAAATTTTTTATATTATTTTTTCTAATTCGTTTTGAAATTCAAAAATACGATTTGAAACTAGCTTTTTAAATATATTTTCATTTTTTCTTTTAATTTTAATTATCACCTCTTATTTCTAAGCTCTAAGTCTAGCTTAGTTTTTTTTTAAACAACAGTCTAGCTTGGTTAATTCTAGCGTTATAAGTATATATTTAACATGACAAAAAAGTATATTTTTATCCTTTAAAAAAAAATTCATCGTTTTCTTTTTTGAGATTTTTTTGTGAAAACAAATTGAAAAAAAATTATCCTAGAGAATTTTTCTAGAAGGTATGATAACGCATTTGTTTACTTTATTATATTTCACAAAACCGTTACAATCAATAAGATTGTCCACACACAAAATAAGAAAAAATAAAACAATTACAAAAGAAAAAAGAAAAAGAAAAATGGGGAAACGCCACATCATCCAAGTTAACACAAAACGCCCGATACAGCCATCAAAAACAACACCGTTGGGCTTGAAGAGGGCTCTCTTCTACACTCTGTTATATTCCCTATCTTTATATCTGTATACTTTCTTCTTCTTTTCTTTACAAAAAAATGAGTTAATAAATAAACACTGTTTTTCTTCTTGCCCAAACCGTTCTAAAATAATATAATAAATGTATGAAAGAACTCTAACTTGGCCTCTAAGCAACTGAGATGCATCTGCGGTGACCCACTCGTGTTCTCATTTTCTGTCGTTTTGTCTCTTCTCTCCACACGTTTCCAATTTCTTGAGCGATGCTAACAGCGTCTGCTGATGCTCCGGCCAATCCTTTCCTCGTGAATCCAGCCGCGTAAAGTCCCGATTTACCTTTCCATGCGTTTGGAAACGGCGATTCGTAAACCCGTTTTTTAGAAAATAAGTCATTTTCCTGAAGAACAAAAAAAAAAAGATTAAGTTTACTTGTAATGCAAGAAACTACGCAAATCATTAGATTGAAATTGTTTTGTTTCCTTTTCTCACCTGAAGCCAAGAGGGAACATTACTGCGGTAACCCGTGGCGAGAACAACTGCGTCGAGATCTAATATCTGACCATCAACGAGCTCCACGTGGCTACGAGCGAACCTTTTGATTCCAGGGGCGATATCTATTTGTCCGGACTTGATTTTCTCCATAGCTCCGATGTCAAGCACTGGAGTCTTCTCTGTGACGACCTTGCGCTCCATTGGACCCATATTTGGCCTCTTTATTCCTTACTTTGTCAAATTTCCCAAAATTAACCATGTTAGGATCAGCAGAAGCTTGTCCACTAGCCATAGAGATGTAGAAGCCGGAAAACCGGATCGACATGAATGATATAAGAAAGACGGAGTTAAGGAAATAAACGATTATATAAGACATGGAGGCGAGATAAATCTCTTTCCTTAATTCTTAATATTCGCTCCGTAGTGAGACGAAACTGTACGAATATCGAGTCCCAGGATACAACCATGGCAGACGAATCACGCGTCACTCGTGAAACGACCTAACGAACATAAACTCTACGAACACTCTCTAAACTTACTTTGGGAGATTTGCTGGTTTTTTCTTGCGTGAAAAAGTTAAGAATAAAGAAGGAGGAGAGACAATATTTAAAGAGACGGAGAAGACCCACTTCCCGCAACAACTGCTGCACATGGGCGAAAATCTCGCTGAGATCTCGGGAGTGGAAGCTCAGAAACTTTCTCCGCAAGATCTTCTCTTTTATTTGACTCGTTCAAATTGTTTTTCAAACAGATAGACTTCGTGTTGTTTTACACAAACTACGTGTTGTTTATTTACACACATCATGCTGTTTTTAAATTTAAACATGGCAAAGCGTTAGGCTTAATTTGGTCCAAAAAGATAACTTCTTATCGGGCCAAAGCCCAAGCCCAAGCCCAAGCCCAAACCCGAGCCGAGCCGGCCGGACGGCGGCGGCGCGCGCGTGGGGAGCCATCTCTTCCTTTGACTCATTTGAACCAAGGTAGGTGTGACTCCATATATATACCCCTCTCTGATGCTAGAGATACCCGATGTGGGACTCTAGAGGTTTTGTCACTTAGACAAAATTGCAGTCTTTTATTTGCACTAAGATGCCCACTTTCTAGCCTCATTTCTCATTCAATTTAAATCCGTTTTTGACGTTTCAATATATCAAATTGTAGTACTTGTTGCAAGCTTTCCAATGATATAACAAACTGATCAAGACAACCACTGGTTTGGCCGGAAAAGCCACCAGAAAAGTCGAAAAGATCACTGTGTCAAAAACTGTTTCCAACAATCCCCCACATTAATAGAAATGACTCTAAAAATATGCAGACTATATGCTGACTCGATAGAATCTTTAAAAAAAAAAAAATTACTTATTCTAATCCTGACTAGACTAGACAGACTTATCGAGAGTGTTTGCGAAAAATTTACTGTGTTTGAGTTGGTGGCATTTTTAAGCCTTGAACCACTCATAGTTAATATCTGTCGGGTTTACTTTACCAGAAGGTGAACATGATGTCTTGAACCAACCGATGTTTTATGTAGACCGAGACAACAGGCATAACGCAGCTTCATTTTCTCGTAGAACTTAGTTCTCTATTGTGTTCATTGTGGCCCTGAACTATTCCTGGTTTTCATGTGTGAACTTAGAGAATATAGCCTTGCATTCATTCTCATAGAAACGGCCTCATTTCACACTCACTAGGTGATTGACCATGAAAAGTATTGAGTAATACTTTGCTTTAGAAGCTATGGAATCATTAAAAGCTAATGCTTATCCTCGCATTTCGTAGCACTTTTATCATCTTAGGAGCTGGGAAGAGACTACTTTGTCTCAAGTGCTTTGGTTAGATTCTGTTTGATTTTGTTTTCCCTTTGAACCTACGTCTTGGGATCTCCAGTCATGATAGGTAGGGTTGCAATCAAACATCTTCATTTGTAATAGGCTTTAACCCCATTCCTTTTGATGATTTAGCAACAATATCTCGTGGCAAACCTTTAGTAAATGGATCCGCTAGGTTGTCAGCTGATTTGATGTAGTCTATTGTGATTACACCAGTTGAGATAAGTTGTCTAATGGTTTTATGTCGTCTTCTGATGTGATGAGATTTACCATTGTAGAGATTATTCTGAGCCCGAGCTATAGCAGATTGACTATCACAATGTATGCGTATAGCTGGCACAGGTTTCTCCCACATAGGAATATCTTCCAAAACATTTCTAAGCCATTCAGCTTCTTCTGCAGCTTTGTCTAAGGCTATGAACTCAGATTCCATGGTGGATCTGGCTAGAACTGTTTGTTTGGTAGATTTCCATGATATTGCTGCTCCTCCTAGTGTAAAGACATATCAACTTGTGAATTTTGAGTTTTTAGAATCTGATATCCAGTTAGCGTCACTGTATCCTTCTAAAACTGCTGGTTCTTTACCATAGTGAAGCCCAGAATCTTTTGTGTAGCGCAGGTAATTGAGTACTCTCGTTATAGCTTTCCAATGTGTATGACCTGGATTACTTGTATATCGACTCAGTACGTTTACTGCATGCGCTAGATCTGGTCTTGTGCAATTGGTCAAGTACATGAGACTTCCAATCACACGTGCATACTCATTTTGTGAAACCGCTTCCCCTGAGTTCTTCGTCAAGTGCATTTGGGGATCCAACAGAGTTTTCGCCGTACTATTAGAGTAATTTTTAAATCTCTCCAATATTGTTTCAGCATAATGAGCTTGGGTTAATGTAATTCCTTTTGAATTTCTTGTTACTTTAACTCCGAGAATTACATCTGCTACTCCCAAGTCTTTCATCTCAAATTTCCCTTTGAGCATGTTCTTTGTTTGACAGATAATATCTTTATTGCTTCCAATAATAAGCGTATCATCTACATATAGACATAGCCAAACATACGCATTTTTGGTAGTTTTGTAGTATATGCATTTGTCACATTCATTAATTTTGAAACCATTTGACATCATAGTACTGTCAAATTTTTCGTGCCATTGTTTAGGAGCTTGTTTAAGCCCATAAAGTGACTTTACTAGTCGGCATACTTTGCCTTCTTGTCCAGAAATGACAAAACCTTCTTGTTGTTTCATGTAAATTTCCTCTTCTAAATCACCATTTAGAAAGGCGGTTTTTACATCCATTTGATGGATTTCTAGGTCTCTTAAGGCTGTGATTGCTATCATCAGTCTTATTGATGTTATTCTCGTTACTGGAGAATATGTATCAAAATAGTCATGGCCTTCCTTTTGTCGGAATCCTTGAACTACAAGCCTAGCTTTGTATTTTCCACCAGGTTTTCGTGTCATTATCCATTTATTTCCTAATGCTTTGCAGCCAGGTGGTAAATCTGTTATATACCATGTATAATTT